TCATCTTTTATATAAACTAAAATATTGTATTAAAAACTATATCTTTAAAATAATATTTAAAGAGTTCACCAAGAATAAATTGATAATTTTTTTTATTAAAAAATTTTTCTAAATTGGTTTATTTTTATCTTATAAGTAACTAATACTTTTTTTTATAATACAGTATGAAATTAAATACTGCTATAATTCTTATTTTCAAATATTATCAAAAAAATTTTATTTAAATATATTAAAATTTAAAAAAAGTAGATCATAATCATATTTATAATAATTTTTTAGACAAATTTGCCTGAAAAGCTTACAGTTTAAGGAATATATAAAAAATTTAGATACAAATAAGTGTGACAAATCGGTTAACTAATATATAAGAGAATTTGATATATAAAAATTTATAAAAATTTAGCTTGTGAGTTGATATTAATGTAGATTGATATTAATGAGGGTCATATATAATAGCTAATTGCAACTACAGTAAAACTTTATAAGTACACTCTCTCTAATTCAGGTTCAACAATATAGATAATCTCTATAAATACTTTTTCTTATTGTTCTTATTGTTTTCTAATTACAAGCAGTTAAATTTTGGTTTCAAGTTTGTATACTTATAGAAATTTTACTGTAATTATCTACAGGTACAAAATAACACCTAAGAGTAATTTCAAATCATGGTCTGTATTATGTTTAACTTAGATCATAATTTAAATTAATATCTCTAAATATTATTTTGCTCTTACTAAAATAATCAAAATCGATCTGATTAATCAATTGTATAGCTTTTTTTTTTTAATTTAGATTTAATTAAGAAACCATACAAAATTCAAAATTTTAAACTATTTGTTTGAGTTTATATAGTATTAACAAAACAAAGATAATCTTTAGAAAAGGATGTTAGAATATATGAAAAACACAAAATATTTTGAAATGAAGGAGAAGGAAGTAGGTGAAATAGATAAAAGTAGAAGTGAAGAAGATGAGAAAGAAAATGAAGAAAATAATGAAAAAGAAAACAAAGAAAATAAGCATGATGATAGGTATAATAAAACAAATGAAAAGAATAAAGATAAGAAGAATGAAAAAAATAATAAAAGAAAAAATGAAGATAAGCATAATAAATATGATGAAGTGAATAAAGAGGAGAATAAAGAAATAGATGAAATAGTAAAGAAAATAAAGAAAATGACAAAAGAAAAAATGAAAAAGATGAGTGTGATAAGTATAATGAAGTGAATGAAGAAAAGAAGAATGAAGAGAAGGATGAAAATAATTAGAGAACAAAAATGAAAATAGGAAAGATGGTGATAACAAAAATAATAATAGTAATTATAGAACCAAGAATGGAGATAAGAATAGGGAAGGTGTTAATAAAAATAATGAAAAAATAATAGAAAAGAAAATTGATAATTATTTATTTACCACAATATTAGCACTACCTGAAAATTAATACTTAATATTCAAATTATTCAATCCTATTAGTTAAATAATTATAATTAATATTGATAATAAATTAATTAATTATCAAAACAAAATATAATTACCTAGATAATATAATATGAGTGTTACTAAAAGAAAATTTGAAAATTTAAATATAAGTTATATTTAAATTTTTAGATTTTCTTTTAATGATACTTATATAATGTATTTAATAAATTAATTTTTATGAATATTAGGATATATTTGTGAATACATGGTTTTAATAAATTTGCTATTATAAACGTTGTTAGATTATGTGCTCTTAATCTTTTTTAATATTCTGAATTCTGATACATATAGGTTGATTTGAGTAATTTATAAATAGAGCTTATTTTTTAATAACTTTAAAGCCAAATAATTTTTGATCTACTAGTTCATTTTAAATAATTTTATTACCAAAATGTTCATCTCTTTGAAATGATTCCAATGAGCTCAAAATCATTAAAATTCAATCACAGGATTATGAAAAAATATACTGTCAAATAAGATGATGCACCTGTAAAATATATCAATTGATTAGATATAGATTTAACCAATTGATCTATTTTGCAAGTATATTATTTTATTTGACAGTACATTTTCTCATAATTCTGTGATTGTATTTTAATGATTTTAAGCTTGTTAGAATTATCTCAAAAAGACAACCATTTTGGTAGTAAAATCATTTAAAACAGACCAGTAAATCAAAAGTTATTTGGTCTTAAAATTTTTTAAAAAATAAGTTTTACTTATAAATTACTCAAATTGGCCTATATAAAATATTTTTATTACTATACCATTCCATAATGATGCATATTTATTATAAGATACAGATTTTCTATACAAAATTTCTTACATAATTATCTTCAACAAGTAAATATCTGTCTAAAATTTCTGGTGCTATATATAAAAAACTTCATAAACCTACAACATTCTTTCCTAAATGCAATAAACATGCTATGTAATCTATTTTGTAAAATATTATCCCTTAAACTGTAGGCTTTTCTAGACAAATTTGACTAGAAAATTATCATAAATATAGTTATGATCTACTTTTTTTAAATTTTAACATATTTAAATAAATTTTTTTTTGATA